GCAGTGCGCACGTGGATTATTTTAAGTAACATTATTTTTTTCCTTTTTCTTTTTAATAATTTATTTTTGTTATACAAATTCAAATTCAGATTTTTAATTTAGAAGAACATTTGGTTTCTAAAGCATAATTTTTATAACCAGGATAATGAATTAGGTATCTTCGTAAACTTCTCAACTGGGAACAGTGGGTAAAAATTTCACATCTGGGGGCGCCGGAAATTTTTACCTGATTAGGATTCGCAACTTGTGACTTATTTACCTTCATCATATTATGCAATTGATTATACTTAACTACTTTTTTTATGAACAATATGGGATTTAAGTATAAGATAACAAAAATAGATTTTAAAAAATCTGATGTGTCCAACACATGACTTTCCTATCTAGTTATTACAGGCTTTTTCCGGTTATTTTGTACAACCTATTGCAGCACCTCCATAAATGTTTAGAGGATAAAATAAATATATACATTTTCCACATACATCTACCACGAAACATTTTTCTATAGATATTCATTGAAAATGAAAATACTGAAAAATTTAAATTTAGCACTTTTCCTACAATTTTTCCATTACGGTCCATTTTAGAAAAATCATGTAAAAACAAAAATTATAGAGATCGATATCGCAAACAACTTTTATTTCAACAATTTTCATGAAAATCAGAATTTTGCACATTTTGTCAAATTTCTCGAATACGGACCATTTCAGGAAATTTTGACATAAAGCAAAAATTATAGATAATAATATTAGAAATAACTTTTATTTGAACAATTTTTTTCTCCAAACATAAATAACAGATATATTCCATAAAATATAAAAACGGCCCCCCATAAAGTAATCTAATCATTTCATGTCAGGACGAAATAAAAGTTTAAAATTTAATGTTTTTTTCTTTATCCGTTTTTGAGTTTTCTTCAAATTTCGAAATTTACACATTTTCTCAAATATCTCGAATACGGTCCATTTTAGAGAAATTATGTATAGGATAAAAATTATAGAGAATTATATTACAAACAACTTTTGTTTGAACAATTTTATAAAAAAATATTTTTTTTACATTTTGTCAAATTTCTCGAATACGGACCATTTTAGGAAAATTTTGTATAGAACAAAAATTTTAGATAATATAAGATGTAACTTTTATTTGAAGAATTTTCTTCCCCAAACGTAAATAACAGATATATTCCATAAAATATAAAAATAACCACCTATAAAGTACCCCCCCAGATGTTCCGACACTGCCCAAAATCTAATCAGCACATTGGACGCTGGAACAAAGCTTAAGTTTAAAATTTGGTGTTTTTCTGTATTTCCGTTCATGAGTTATGCGACACAGACATCATCGCGAAAATAGTCAAAACGGATTCAGGGGACCTCAAAACGTAAAAATCCGTCGAAAACTCGAGGTCGAAAAAAATCATGATTCCTATACTTTCCTTATATCTGTATACAGATAGGAAAGTAAAAATATTTTTATTCATATAATATAATACAGAGCAAATAAATAGTGTACCAAATACAAATAACTGCTACATAGTGGGTGTATATACAAAATTAAATTAAAGTGTCAATACTTTTTTCCAGGACATAGTCAATGACAGTTTTTTTATTCTTTCATCAAGTACAACATGTCGCACTTTTTTGCATCATGTACAATTCCACCTTTGCTGTATATTGTCGTAGTGATATGATTCCTCTTTTAATGCCTCTATAAGTTCAAAAAGATTGGAATGCATTTTTGATAATTTATTTAAGTGGTTATGTTAACCTTCAAGCAACTCACTATATTATATAAAAAAATATAAAAGAACAAACGACAGGCGCTAGTTCAGTGTGATGTCATTTGGGTTCCACTGACATTTAATTATAACCAAACTTTTAACAAAAACATCAATTAATTTGACATATACGTTTTTACTGTTTTTAGTTTATTTCTAAATATTGTTTACAGGTCATAAAAAATAGTTTAAAGGTATGTAATTGGTAACTAAACGATTGTATATTTGATGCATGTTATCTACTTACTTTAGGAATATATTTATAAAAGTGAAAAAACGATATAATTTAGGTAACAAAACGAACAAAACGCACTCAAAAAATCTACTGTCACTTTAATTGTCAGTGGAACCATAATTACATCATCACTGAACTAGGGCTAAACTAATCAAATTGCAAGTTAAACAGCAAACAAGGTATGCTCAATCTTACATTAGTAAAGTCCAAGGTAATAAACAACTGGTTCCCGCTTGTTCTGGTCATATATAAATGCAAAAAATAAAAGTTCATGTATTCCGGGCACTATGTTGTTTGAAGATGAAATTATTTGCTGAACCTCAAGAAATAGTAGATAAGTTTAGTCAATTCTTCTAAATTGTTTTTGTAACATTATCGGAGCCAAAGCAGGATAGGGCAGTTTATTTGAATCCCAATTTTATGGTGACACCATTAATATTGAAAATGTTAGTGAATTAGATGTCATACAAGCCAGTCAAAAATTAGGCAATAAAATGACCTCTGGCTCTGATGATATACCATCATTTTTGGTTAAAGATTGTATTTATGTATTAGCTTATCCATTAAACATAATATTTAATTTAGCACTAAAGTCAGAAAGATTTCCAGAGCAGTGGAAAGAGAAAAGAATTATTCCTGTTTTTAAATCAGGTGATAAGAAACAAATCAAAAACTATCGTCATGTATCTATTCAGTCAAATTTCTCCAAAATCTTCGAGATTGTTATTTACAATTGCATATATCCGTCTGTTCGCAACAAAAAGTCTACTGAAAGTAATTTACTTATAATAACTCAACACTTATCTGAAGCAGTTGATACAGGTGGGCAAGTGGATGTTATTTATACGATTTTTCGAAGGCTTTTGACAGAATGGATTATGGGATATTAATTGATAATTTATACCAGTTTGATTTTTCAGGCCTTGATGAGGTTCTGTAAATCATATCTTCTGGAAAGGTAGAATTTGTTTTTTTAAATCAGGTGTCCCTCAAGGTTCAAACTTTGGACCGTTGTTATTTTTATTTTAATCAGATTGGTGCATGCAAAATAGGTTAATGTTAAATACATCTAAGTGTAAAGTGATGGTACGCGCCAGAAAAAGATCTACAGATTTATATTATAACATTAATGGTTTAGTTTTGTCACGTTGTTCCTCTATCACTGATTGGGTGTCACTTTTGACTCAAGACTAAGTTTTGTTAAGCACATTAATATGAAGGTTTCTGATGCAAAAAAATGTAAGGTTTTGTTATACGAAACTGTCATGGATTCAGGGACATTGGAGCATTAAAACCATACTATTTATACATCCTTACTAAGCTTGAGTATGGTTTAACTCTCTGGTATCCCTACTGTAATATTCACATGATTAGTGATAGAAGTGGAGATAGTTTTTGAAATATTTAGCTTTCAAAGTTAATAGTGTCTACCCTCCAAGAGGAATCGATTATCAGCTACTTTTGGATAGTTTTAACATGGATAGCCTTGAATTTTGGAAAATTCTAGCTTTGACTTCTTTATACAAAATCATAAATGGATTGACTCTCCTGCTATGTTAGCTAAAATTAATTTAAATGTTCCCCAGTACAATAACAGACATCATTTAGCTTTTTATTGTAACTGATCTAAAACAAATATTCTATTAATCTCTCCTCTCAATGTCATGTGTAATAATTTTAATTTATATTGTAATTCATCAGATATCTTCACAGATAGTCTGGAAAGCATTAAAGCAGTTGCTTGTACCAAATATGACAATGCTGTAAAAAAACTCTCCTTTTTTGTTGTTTTTTTTTTTTATTTTTTATATTTATTTTGTATTCACTGTTATTCATAATATCCATATTGTATTTTGTCAACTTTACTATATTATTAATGATTTTTTTGGGTTGCTCTGTAAAGGGATTTATATCTGTTGGGCAATAAAGGCTATTATTATTATTATTATTATTAAAGGATATCCACAATAGATCTGAAAAGATCGAGGTGGGGGAGGCCACATGGCCCACAGTCCTAATTCTAATCTAATCTACACCAGGTACACAATTTTTTTACATATCAATCCTTTAGATGATCAAAAAATTGCTTGCAAAATAACCATAGATTCAGAAATAATGTTATTAAGCCACCTATATCCCAAATTTCGTTGAAAAAAGCAAATCTCCTGTGACATAGCCGAAATCTCTATGTCGAAAGTAACAAAATAGGATGACAGAAAATAATTTCAAACGGATTTTTTTATGTTATTGACTTATTAACAGCAAAAAATGAAAAATAAAACCGTCGATAAGTAACTTTAAAATTCACAAGTCACATGACGGCTCCCATCACCAGGACGTTTGTTTCACCCCCCCCCCCCCGTACTCATAAGCCAGCAAAAAAGACACCTCTTTTTGCAGTTAAAAGAGGGACTATTATACCTACAAGTAATAATTAATATACAACAGTTATCTATACAATTTGCATTCTTATATTCCTGATTCCATGGGAATAAAAAATGTAGTGACATTATTACATTTATCAGCTGGGCTGCTATTAACATTGACAATGTCAAACTTACTATACAGTGAGGAGGATACTAGATATTAATTTCATAGGATCATTAAAGAGTGTGAATAATGTGAAGGTCCCAATTCTCAAAAAAAAAAAAAATATATATATATATAAGAAGGAAAGATTACTGAATAACTCTATAGAACGAAGATTTTCAGTCTTATTTAAAATGATGAAAGGTAATTATTGTGAATTATTTGTGATATAAATATTTAAGCAATCACAAATTAAACTTGAATTTTTTAATTATATGCTGCTTATTTCTTAGAAATGATATATTATCAGTAAATGAATGATTAAAGCAAAATTAAGCTGTTTTTTAAGTATTTGACTTGATAATTTTCTTCCTTAAATACTCGGTTAAATATAAATATTAAAAACAATGAGGTATTCAATTGATAGTTTTTTAAATAAAATCAAATAGTATTTACCTAAAAATACAAGCAGGATATTTTAAAGAAACACCACTAAACGGCAATAATTCATATTTCACATTTCTTTACAAAATTATAAAAATAAAAAACATCCAAGCAAGTTGGCATCACTAAATGACATATGACACGGACATGACTAGTGGCTTATGTCATTGTAAGCTCGGTTCAGTTCGGTAATTCTGTGTTCGACAATGTAGGAGGTAGAGCAAAGAGCAGATACATCAGAAGTTGGAAAGGCTTTTCTTAGCCCTTATGACACGCCTTCTTGTTTCACTTGTGGTGTAAAATGAAAGTCGTTAATGTCATCAGGCTGTTATTTAGAATAAGGGTTGCTCGGGCGCCAGTTTAAATAACGCAGTTTGCTCTGCGACCCTCGGGTACACATAGATTCTAGATTGCGTTCAGAGTAATTTTCATTGGCTCAACATTTCTGAACGGCAACGAAAGTAAACGTCAACGAATTTGAAAATTAAAGTTTTTTACAGTTATTTGTTTACAGACATTTTATTCCCTCATATAATGTTTGATGGTCTTTGCTTCCTGTTGTTACTGGTGTCTCGTATAGTTATATTTTTTACTTATTTATTTTTTAGCTGTTTTTTTTCTTTTTATTTCAATATATACCTATTTACAGCCCTATTTATAATCGAGATTGGGGTCTATTCTGTAACAATTCCTTTATATTTAACGGCCTTTAAAAATATATTCTTCCTTAATTCTGTCATTATTTTAACGGATCCTTAAAATATATTAGTGTCGATTCCACCGTTGTGTTAAACGGAGATTAAATTGACATTGTTAATGTAAAAATGTAATTTTAAACTTCGTTTAACACAATGGTGGAATCGGTCCTTAGAGGACTATCTTAAAGAAATCTGTTTAAATAATGACAAGTAAATTAACGAATACGAAAATATTTTTAAAGGCCGCAAATATTTTAACGGCCGTTAAAATATAAAGGAATTGTTACAGAATAGACCCCATTATGATGAATGGTCTATAAAGTCAATAAGACAAGAAATTTTAGATTGTTTATTTTAAAACAAACTTAACCTTATAAAATGCCATGTACAAACACCTTTATGACACACAAAAATAATATGAAACAGCAATTTCTTGCTGCGTTTGAGAATCCACATCGGATGCATTTTTTACATCTCGAGCGTTTTTTTATCCACATCTGTCCCATTACATTTACGTATACTGAACCACGTGATCAAAGATTTTTTACATCTCAGATGCATCCGATGTGGATTCTCAAACGCAGCATATGCAGAAGAACTCTTACGTTCTGTCAAATTTACTCAAATGAACCCAGTCTAAACTGGGTAAAAAGAGTGCACTCCAGACTAATTTGACTGGACTTTCTGAACGAGAGTAGCTAAACGTCCAATAATTGAACGCTCTTTTTGGTCGGAGCGTGTTTCCTTAACGCGCTCCTAAAGTACCCTCAAGGTAGCCCCCAATGAACTGGAGTGGGGTAGAAAGCCATTATCATTTCTCATCCTACTCGGGAGTATTTATATTAACCATTTTCTGTTTCACATTGTTATTGTTCAATCCACAGGCTGGTGGATCAGACAATAACAAAGTGAAATAGAAAACGGTCGATATAAATACTCCCGAGTGAGATGAAAAATTACCTGTCTTCGCCAATAGAGTCGCATCTCAGATTCCACCGTTGTGTTAAACAAAGTTAAAAATTACATTTTTTACATTAACAATGTCATTTTAATCTCCGTTTAATACATCGGTGGAATCGGTCCTAGCAGTCTTTTTAAAGCAATCTTTTAAAAGTTGATCTCAAATCAGTTCCATAAATATTTAACCCGGTTTAACTCTAGCCATATCGAACACAGTCCCAGATTCTAGTATTCCGTGTTCCGTAACTTACAGTTGTCATTTGTCATGTTGTTTCAGTTTTTTGTTGGTTATGTTTTCCTGTGCAATGTTAACTTTGGTGTTGGATTGAGTTGCCTGTTTGGGATTTGGATTGTTTATTTGCTAACAATATTTAACTTTATTTTTTAATTGAATAGTTGTGATATTAGTTAGAAAATAGGTGTCACACAAAAATGTCTATGTCCTATTTTGCATCTTTTCCTGCATTTTCATGCAGTTCCTCAGATGATGCATAGTTTGCATAGTACTTAAGTAAACTGAAAAAGTTGATTATTAGTTAGAAACTAATAAAAGTCCAGGGTAAAAATGGCTAGTTCATCAGTTTTACAACCTGAGTCTTTGGACTATTCAAGTTAGTAATTTTATTTTTTATTGAAAATTCTTTATCTGAAAATAGCAAAATTAACTATTATTATTTAGGCGAGGAGAAGCAAAAAGAATCAACAAATCAACAAAGATCTAAGAGTATAGTTGCCTTGGAAAAGGCTATTGAAACTATGAAGGAAAAAGGTTTAGAGGATGACCCAAGATATGCACAGTTACTAGCTCTTCAGTATAGAACTACTTCAATGAATGGTGCATTTTCACTTTTACAAATGAAACAACTTCGAAATCAAATAATGGCTTACAGGTAATATTCACATTATTGCTCATTACCTGTATTAATTTAACTTGTTTCCTTTTTTGTATATTTAAATATTTAATTACTAGCTGTTGCCTGCAGCTTTGCAGGTGTAGTGTTGTGTTTATAATATCAAAAAATACATGACTATTAATTTTTAGTAATTTTTATTAATAATTTATTATAAATGTATTAATAATTTATTAATATTATTAATTTTTATTAATTCTTATTAATTTTGAATAATTTTTAATACTTTTTAATAATTTTTGTCGAATTTTTGTTAATTTTTATTAATTTTTTTAAATTTTTATTTACTTCGATTTATTTTTATTTATTTTTAATTTAGGTATTTTTAATTTATTTTTAAATATTTTATTTTTTTATTTATTTTTACGATACTCTCCATTTCCCCCTCCTTAAAATGTGAAAATTAAAAACCTTGAAATAGGTACTTCATTATTTACTTATGATGAGTAGTTACAATACCAATTTTCAAGTTTCTACCATTAAAAACCTAAATTCTCGCCTAAATTCAATAGGTCTTAAGTCTAAATTGCAACAATATAGTAAAAAAATACTATGTAGAATATATTTCTCAAAATATCCCATGCACAAGGTTTGCCTTTAGTGGAACCACTGTTTATTCACATGGACATTTTTTTTTTGTTAAATTTATTTTTTTTTCTGTTAAATATAAGTTAAAATTGTAATTCGATTTTTAAAGTGAATAAATTATTATTATATTATTATTATTATTATTATAAAAACCGAAAATCTCTTACAAACTTTCAGCCTCCGTTCCCCCCTTAAAAGTAAAAATCCAAAAACTCTAAAATATTTCTATTTATTTATAATGAGTAGCTACAATTCCAATTTTCAAGTTCCTACCTTTAATAATTTGATACTCCCTTGCAAACTTGCACCCTGTTTCATGTTTCACTACCACTATGCATGCATGTCATGTCGATCCTTGCTCTATATAAAACAAAAACAAATTTATCCCACGGGAACCGTACTTTTTCCGGGATAAAAAAAAAGAAGATCTATTCAGAACAGTCAGTTGTTTTGTGAGGTATTTCAATAATACATTAATTTTAGTATACATTTTATATACTCCTTGAAGAAATGAAATTAGAATTTTTGAATGTTTGAAATTTTCCTAAATTGTGATGAAAATGGTTTAAAATTTCACAATTCTGGCTTTCAGCATTTGAACTTTGGGTCGACTGGTAATGTTCAACTCACTGACTGAATTGGTCCTCGTACTCGGCTCACTTCGATGAGAGGATAGTGCCTATCAGTTTCTGATAAAGCTCACATGGTACCACAATTCTCGCACTCTACCACTTGACCAGTGCAAAAATGTTGGTAGGGATCTTGAGTCTCTCCAAAGATGATAATTGTTACAGTGAGAACATTTTTAAACATTTAATGAAATCATTATTTTAGTGATCGAATATTTTGTTTATAAATGAAATGAAGATTAAAAAGTAATGAAAAATGGTTTTAGTACAAGTGGACAAGGACCGATCAATGAGATTTATCTTTCTTTGACACCTCATAAAAGGATAAAAAGCATTCTAAAGTAATCAACTTTAGATATAATGCAACTTTAATGATATATGTCAAATTAGTTACTTATATGCAATATTATACTGTTTCAATCGCTATACATATGATTTAGATTTATTTTCATCAAAATTGCAGTTAACAAAATTTTTACATGTCAACATCTAAAAGTAAATTACAAATTGAAACAATAAATTACAAATTTAAACAGTAAATTACAAATTTAATCAACAAAATACAGAGTATAGACATTCACACCTTCACATAACATATATTTATGTATATTTCAAATTATCAAACAAATAATTAAGCACTTTAAGGTAGGTCGGCAGTTAATCCCTTCCAAACTAAAGAAATATGACAGATCTTTTAGATTTTTTGAGATATTATTGTATAAATGAATATTGTGAGACTTCATTTTGCTTTTAGACAGTCTACATAGCAATTTGGTCTAATGTATTCCTCTGATCTAGTATTATAGTCATGGAAGTGAGAGTTCAAACAGAAATCATTCTTATTTTTATGAATTTCAAGCAGTGTTTCATACATATAAAGAGAAGGTGACTCCATAATCATTAATTTTAAAAATAGGGGTTTAGAATGATTTCTAAAGTTTACACTCAAGATTAATCTTATCACTTTCTTTTGAAGTTTGAAAATTCTATCTACAAGGCAAGAGTTACCCCAAACAGTTATTCCATATTTTATATGACTATGAAAAAAAGAGAAGTTGCATGTTCTAATGACATCCATAAATACTAGGATGTGCCAAGTTACGTATGACAACATTTGCACTACAAAACTTATGACTTAAATTATCTATATGTATGTTCCAGTTCAATTTATTTATGACAGCCCATGTTATATTTTTGAAGTTGATATTTTGATTCTTGTCTTTGTT